CCAAAGGGGACTCGAGATGGACCAAAGGGGACCTGAGATGGACCAAAGAGGACCTGAGATGGACCAAAGGGGACTCGAGATGGGCCAAAGGAACCAGCTGAAGCACCAAGGGACAGATCACAAGTGAGGGTGTGCCAGAGGCCAGGGCCTGACAGCCCTCACTGACATCTGCAGGCTCAGATGTTGGCTTGGCAGCTGTTGCATGAAGCCCCTTGTTCAGTGCTGTAAAAAGGATGGGATCCTGTTAAGAGAATGGCGTTTTTATTCAAATGGATATGGACTTGGTAGCAGAAAAATAGCAAGATCCTCTGATGTTCTACAAATTTGAAAGCAGCAGATTTTTTTTGCTGTGTGCCATAATTAAAAAAGAAAGCACCAGGACAATTCCCTCATCCATTCCCTCCTCCTTTCTCCTCTCTCTTATAGAAATGATATCTGGTACAGCAGCCAAGATATTTTTCAGTCTGGTGCTCATGGGTCTTTTCATTGCTTTTTTGTTCTCACACTGCTTGCCCAGTACAGCAGCTGTTAAATAGACAACTCTGAGAACTGGGGAAGGATATTGGTGAAATATTTGATTAACACTATTTTTGCAGGAAATTGATATGTCAACTATTTTTATCCTCAGGCAAAGGAATAATCAAACCCAATCCCTGTGGCAACCTTCTCTGATTTCAGATGACTTTATAACCTCTGGTATTTCACTGGTTTTTAATTTTATATTGCAGTCTGTCACAGCTTCCCACCCTTCGTGATTTCATGCAGTTTTTTTAACTGTATGATTGTCCCATTAGGAAATACATTCAGCAAACTTTCCTGTTGCAGAGTGCTGTGTTCATTGCTTCAGAAAGTGTGTTTTGGCACAGCTCTGCTGACAACAATGAAACAACTGAAACTCTGGCTGTTATCCATAACACACTCCAATTCCCTATTCATAACCTAAATTCCTTTTTGTGCAATTTACAATTTTTTTTTCATTACATATGCTAGTTACATCTTAGGGTGAATCAGTCAAATGGACTCTAAATTAAAATAGTTGGCTGATCTAAGCCCCAAATCTGTTGCAATGCAGTTTTCTCACAGCTTGGAAGAAAACAGCCAATATAGCCACCACAGGCAGGGGTGATTATTCTTTCTGTCTGTCTTTTTCCAGGTAACTGACTAGATGGATGTACCCTAAAGTTTTAATCTTCTAGGTAATTAGGAGAAATAGATGGAAAGGAACGTCAATAAACTGTGTGAACCTGAATAGGTCACGCTAACAGTCAGGATGTCACTGTGAGGACAGGAAATCCTTAAATTAGATGCATCATTTTAGTTTCTAATTTAATCCACAAACCAGAATCAAAATTTGTTTGAACCATACGCACGTGAGTGAGGAAACAGAGGCAAGTGGGCTCCAAATTGAACTGAATGGGGTAAATTGTCGACTGCTTTGGGTGAGAGGAAGCCCAGCACCTTGGGCTTGGAGCTGCTGAGGTGAGCTCAGTGACAGCCTGGCCCAAAGGTTCCTCCTTCTCACACTGCAGAAAGGAGGAGCACACCCTCCACTCCTGGTGGCCACTGCTGTGTGCCTGGACGTTGGCTTTTTAAATCCAGGGGAGGGGAGGAGAGACAAGCTAACTTCACACAGGTTCACCCCACCCTCTGCTTGGCTTCCCTTCCTTGGCAAGCCTTCCCAGCAGCAGCTGGCTGCCTGTTTTTCTTCTGCAGTTGTGTTCCTGACATTTCCTGCAGCGGGTTTTCCTGAAGGTTTCCAGCAGCCCTTTCAGCCCACACCCCCCTTTCCTGGCCTCCTCTTCCTCTCAGCATGGCTTGTGCCTGGCTCCCAGCACCCATCACACATCCCTGCCCATCCCTGTGGCAGCCTCTCTGCTTCTGGGCTTGGCTGGTGCTCTCTGTAAGGGTGCTGGCCAGCACAGACAGGCAGGCAGGCACAGGGCTGTTCAGGCTGCAAAGACCCTCAGATTTGGGTCCAGCCAGTCCTTCCCCAGGGCACAGGCTCAGCAGACGGGCACAGGGCTGTTCAGGCTGGAAAGACCCTCAGATCTGTGCTCAGCCATCCTTCCCCAGGGCACAGGCTCAGCAGACAGGCACTGACTCTGCCCTGTTTGGTGCCAAGGGGTTGCTTCCCTCTTCCCATGTAATTCTTTTTTTGAGAGGCTGCATGTGGCCCTCTCCATGCAGAAGGAGTGATTTGAAGAATTTGGATTAGGGAGAGCACATGCACAGATCCTGGATTACTCAGTGTGCTGCCACTTTCCCTCCCCTGAAAGCTTCATAAACTGTCCTTTCACGGGCTTTTAATAAACACTCAAGTGACTTAATCTTTTAGTGTAAAGGCCTACTTGTGTTTTAAGCTTTCTGTTATCAATGTCATTAAATCAATACCCTCAGTTCTACAGGATCCAAGTCACATATAAGCTGTCACACACAGTTTAACTTTTAAAAGTGCAATATTGAGGTACAGTCAGTTCCTTTTTCATAGATTAGAGAGTACTTTGAAGTAGAGCTGTTGAAGATCAGAGGGAGTTTATTCCTCTGCAGCCAGTTTCTTACGTGTTGGGGGCTCTCTATCCTAATGACAGCTCTGCTGCAGAACTTCAGTGAAGTCTCAGAAGATGAGTGTTTTATGCAGTCATCATAAATGGCACTGGAAAGCCTTGTGGAGATTATATAATGGGTGATAAAACATGGGACAGATTCTTTAAGAGAATTAAGAAGGCAAATTAGGATAGACCCTTCTTTGCCAATCTCTAATCTATTTATCTATTTTTCATTATTATTATTATTTATTTATTCTTTCTCCATCTGAGTACACACACAGCTCTGGACAGGTCAGAGCCTGTATGGCCTCACTTGGTGTGACATCTGTGTTTAGAGTTAAGATGGACAAAAACAAGGACTTGTTCCTTGCCAGAGAAATTTATTTGAGGGTAAAACACATCTGGGGTTTATTTGTGTAAAAGATGCACGACTGCAGTACCATGTCCTCTTCCAGCCTGACCCTGGGGTGCCCTTTCCATTTAGAGTATTAGAATCCAGATTTATCCAGAGAAATGTTACAAATCACAAATGGCAGTTATTGTTCCATCTTTGCTGTTATTACAGCAGATCTTTCCCTCTCTCCCTTTCTGTGGTTTTTCAGCCACTGTCTGTCGCAGAAGTGAAACAATTTGCAATACAAGGCAGCTGTAGATTCCCTCCCTTGCTCCCTTCAGGAAAGCTGTGGAGATGATGGATGTCACCTCACTCAGCACAGCTGGCACAGCTGGAATGTGGCCCTGCTGCGGGAGCAGCGTGAGCTCTGCCCAGAGCAGGGCAGTGGCAGCAGGCTGGGCTGCACGGGGAGGTGTCCCTGAGGGTGAGGATGTGAGCCTGTCCCTTCTCCCTTCCAGCCGGGACCGGGAGCTGTCACTGCTGCCTGTGCTCCCTGGGGAAAGGGCTGCAGGGCGTCCCAGGCCAGAGGGAAGGGCAGGACAGGGCTGGGTGACAGGGCTGGGGTGACAGTGATGGTGCTGGGGAGACAGTGACAGGGCTGGGGTGACAGTGACAGTGCTGGGGTGACACTGACAGTCAGGACAGGGCTGGGTGACAGGGCTGGGGTGACAGTGATGGTGCTGGGGAGACAGTGACAGGGCTGGGGTGACAGTCCTTCAGGGACAGTGCTGGGGTGACACTGACAGTCCCCTCTCACAAAGCACCCGACCTACAGTCCCATCCTGTGACAAAGGCTGGGGAAAGGGTCGGGCAGGGAACTGCAAACCCTGGCCAGGGATGTGCTCGGGCAGATAAGAGAATTCCGTTTACGTTGTGCAGAGTGTGGGCTGAGCATGAACGTCCTTATCTGCAGCATAGCTGCCTGAGGTGTGTGGCACCCAGGAGCAGCCCTGGGAGCCCTGGCTGGGCAGAAATTCCTGCTTATCTCAGCCAGGGGGGAACTGTGCTACCTTGTGCCTGACACTCCTGGCTGGGCTCGTGGGAGAGGAGAAGGAAAATTGCATCAGGAACTTCTTGTACTTGGTTGAGTTTCAGCAGGATGAGGTGGTGGGGTTTTTTCCTTCATTCCCTAAAACAAGGAAAGCAGAACTTGATTATCTTTGGTCTTGACAGCTGAATTGTGTTGCAATAGTCCAAGAGCTGTTAATTCACCAGTGTCTTTTTTATGTTGAAGACTCTTGTAATTAAAAAATTGCCATAAGGCAGGGCTCACATGATGTGGACTTTAGGGATTTATGAATTAGAAAGGGTTGAACAAACACTGGAAATCCTCTAGTTTGCATTATTTTGTCTGTAACAAACTATTACTTCAGTCCAATATAATTTGAATAATTTTGTCATCAAGCTCATGTAACGGAGTGGAGAATGGGATCTCAAAGCTTCTGGAATATAGGAGATTGAGTTACTTGCTAAACCTGTTTATGGAAGATAGAAATGATGTCATTATAATGCTGAGGTGTGCTAAAATAAAATCTTGAATTACAGCATGGCTCTTTCAGTTTGAATGTATGTTTTAAAATAATTGCTGTTGTGGAAAGAAAATGTCTGGGAGTTGGTCATTGTAATGCACATATTTCAGAGTTATTAATCGTAAAATGTGACATTTTTACTACCCAGTGAGAACAAACGATGAACAAAACCCAAAGAAGCCAAGTATGTGCTGAAGAATGATGTCCCAGTAATGCAAAAATTAGCACATGTATTTGTGCTTATGAACAATAGTGATCCTGGTTTGCTATTTGCCTAAAGGAGGCACAGATTTCTCACTCAGAGCAGTAAAAGTTTAATCCCAGTGTGTAAAATTAAGACTGAATACCATCTTTGCATGTTTGGAGCTTGTGTTGAGGATGTGAGGACTGAACAATTTTGCTGCCAGTTCTGGTGTGTTAATCTACAATCAGTCTCTTGAAATTACTGTAGCAATGAGAATGTGAAGTAGCTGAATAGTGGAATTTAGTCCTTTTTAAACATTCCTTCAGGGTTTCTATTTTTTCTTGCAGACGCCCAGACAATACAGCCAAGCACTAAATAAAAGTAACAGAGTTCATCTTTACTGTGCATTTCTGGATTACAGGTACGTTGCATAATTCCAAATTCTTTAACTTGGTTTTATTAAATCACACTTTGTGATGCTGTGTACTTTCTATATTCTTCTTGCTTTCATTCATGGAAATAGTTGAAGAAATGGAACCACTGGCTTATAAAAACCAAAATGTGATTGTTTCTTCTTCCCAGAGATAGGAGACCTGGCATTCCCAGACCCTGGGCTGGGTGGTAATTGGGAACTGAAAACATTCTGAAATCAAAGTTGCAGACTGATACAAATCGTGCTTGTCTCATTTTTTGTGTCCACTTGGGCAGGTGCTTGGATGTTCCAAGGTGGCAAAGCTCCAGCACAGCCTTTGTTTTCACTGGCTCTGTGCCACAGCAGCGTGTGAAATCTGTATATCAGAGCTGTGAATTTTGGCCAATGCATGGAATGGATAAGCATAATGCAATGATCCATCTTGAATGCAAAGTAGAATTAAAGGGAAATAAATATCACCTCGAATTTCCCTCAGAAAATAAGAGCTATAGAAAAGCAGTAGCTTTTTATTGCTTTTTTTTAGCACTGAATACATTTAATTTTTTTCTTTTGAAATACGCTGCTCTTAGTGAATTCATTGAGAAAGAATACAAATAGCGAATTTTTAATTTCATGGGGATTAACAGGTTTTGAGCTGTAACAGTGTAAGCCTAATTGATGTAGCAATGGTCTGGGATGCTGTGATCCCTTCTGAACACCATGCACTTGGGGAGGTCACAGTAATTGTTTCACTGAAGTTTTCTTTCACCTGTGTGGAGCTGCCCCAGCTGTTGGCAGTTCCTCGTTGTTATGGTTACTCACAAATTAGGATAAATTAGAAGCAGGTTTTATGAAGCAAATGAATATGGCTGGGGCATTGTTCCTGTACTGCTCTCTGCTGGGGCCGGGGCCCTGGAGGCTTTGTGAGGATACAAACTCCAGGATGAAATCTGTCCTTCCAGGGGAGCTGCACTGTGCCAGGATGGGTTTATTCCCCAGGGCACCGTAGCTAATCTGGGCCCTGACCTTCAGCAGCGTCTCTCTGAGAGCTCAAGGGGTCCTGAGGGGCAGAAGGATGAGGTAATACCTGTCTTTAAAACAAGCACTGAGTACAGATCACTCAGTCGATCTGCAGGACTCAGAAACAGAAGAAAGAAATAGTTCCTGTCAGAGCAGGGGTGGGTGACCTGTGTGCCCGAGGCTGCTGGGTCCCCACTCCACCCAAGGCTGCAGAGCACAGGGAATTCTGGCTTGCCCTGGCTCCCAGGAAAAGCAAACTCATCAGGATCACTGCTCAAAAAAAAAAAAGCAAAGTGCATGAGGATGCTGAGAGCAGCCCCACATCCTGCCCAGCCATCCCACAGTGGAGCAGGGGCTGCCCCTTGGGGTGAACTGACAGAAGGGACAGGGATGGGCTCTGGAATTGGTGCTCAGACAGCCGGAATGGCTGTGGCAGGATGAGTGTGACACTGGGTAAGGGTCAGGCAGCACAGAAGACACTCTGATTTTGGGGGTTTTGCAAGATCATTGACTTGTCTGGTACTGAAGTTCTCAGAATACAGAAATCTGGGTGAAATGCCATAAACGAGCTGCAAAATGTAATGTCAATGTAGTTATCATTCATTGATTATAAAATGGGAAGAAATCTCTAGAGATGTTCATGGAGGGGTCTATCTGTTCCTTGTCCTGGTGAATATTTTCCTCAGCTATTTCCATGGTGGAGCTGAGGGGACACTCACAGTGTTTGTGGGGTCTCCAGCCTGAGATGCCTGCCAGGCTTTCATCCCTGTGTAGCACAGTGCCTGTGAATTAACCCCCAGCAGGTGCATTTTGGCAGGGGTGACGTTTGGTTTTTGTGCCTCGCAGCAATGGAACTGGTGTTTGGTCCAACGAGGGCTGTGTGAGGGACAGTGGGGACCTCAACCACTCCGTGTGCCTCTGCAACCACCTCACCAACTTCGCCATCCTGATGCAAGTGGTGCCTCTGAAGGTGAGACTAGCACAGCAGTAAATCTGTCTGTAAAAATGAAGCATAAATGCATCAGTTACATCCTCACAGCACGTAAGTGACTGAAACTGGGCTCATTTATGCCCAGCTTGGATTTATTTCTTGCTTCCATTGTGTTATCCAGAGAGCTTAATTAATACCCCAGCCCTTTGTGTCAGTCTGAGCACTTGAAGGGGAGCTGGTTACCTCAGGTCATCCGGTTCTTATCTAGCCATTATTATCTTTATTACTTGTAAAGCACCTAATGATCCCATCTGGTTTCCAAGTACAATTTTTCTAGGAACTCTTCAGGCTGATAATAGAATGCAGCTTTGCCTCAAGACCTCCCATCTTGTCAGAAAGAAGTATCTTGGGAGAAATGTGCTATTATTAACCCTGTTTTAAAGAGCAGCATTCAGGGAATTAGCCAGGATTAAACAGGACAGCCACCAATTAAATGTCACTGAAAGATTGGTTGGTTCCCCACTGGGGAACAGTTCTGAAAGGCCCAGCTTTCAACTAAACAGATTTAGGATTGTGATGATTAATGGGATGCTGCAATAAGTTTTAGTATTATGCCATATTAGCAATTACAGATCAAAGATATTTCATACAGAATTCTTTGGAATAGAGCTTTCCTTAAGAGGTCTGAAACACATAGCTAGGAAAGGTTGGCTGTGAATGGACCTTCCAATTCCTCACAGGCCTTTAATAGCTCCATTTTCAATAGCTTCTCTCTCCTCAAATGATTGGTCTGATGCATTTGCATCCACCAGACTTTGTGCAGAATGTTTTTCCACAGCTTTGTTTTCCCCTTTATGATAAAAGGAAAATCTCATCCCAAATCTTTGTCCCAGACATTTCCTTCAAATGGACCATTTAGGATTTTCTTGTGGTGCGAATTTCTTTAACTAGTGGAAAGAATTGTTATCATGATTGTGTAATTGGCATGAAGAGTCGGGCAAAGACAGGACTCCTGGCTTTGAGCTGTGCCAGCTCAAATTCCCAAAGCATTTGCTAAGTAAAGCCTGCTGAACCAACGTGACAATTGGAAACTTCTCTCAGGTGTCCTTGGAACCCTCTTAAGAAAATGTTAAAATGCTGTGGATTTTGAGCACATTCTTGTGTTTGTTCACCATGTTCAGAAATTCACGAGCCAAGGTTCAAAGGGCCCTTTTAAATCACCCCTCGGAACACCAGGCTGCCAGTGCTCTAAGACATTATTGCAGTGATGTTATATCTGATCTTGAACTTTTGTGTATTTTAATCCTCTTTTCATAAATGAAGTGCACAGATAATGTGCAGCAAGTAAAAGAGGGTGGGAGTATGCAACTGCCCACGTTTGAACAGTTCTGTTCACACAGCTATAATTCATCTGTGGCCAAACAGATTGAAATGGATCAATTTTTTTTTTTTTTATATGAACACTGCTTTTGACAGAATGTTTATATTTCTCTAGATTCTGGGGAAAAAATTAGATTCTTACCCAGAAGGCTCTGCTTTTCATAAAAAATGGAAATAAGTTATTGGAAAGGAACTGCCTGAAAACTGTAGAATTTTTCATCAAAAGCCATATTTTGGTTCAAAAAAAAAGGGAATTAATTTCTCATGGGAATTCTCTGGGTGTTTACACTTCCCTTCTCCTGTGGAAAGTGGCGTTTCCTTTCTCCCCAGGTGCAGATGAGTGCAGCTCTCAGGGAGCAGTGAGAGGCAGAGGCCCCTCCGAGGGCACCTGCACAGCCTCTCCTGCAGTAAAACCAGGGTGCACAGTTCTGCCAGCCCTTGCACAGAAAACAATTTAAAATCTAAAAAAGGGATACTGACCGTGATAAAGAGTGGAAATACACCTCGGTACATGTGCAGCAGCTTCAGGGAGAGCCCTTGTGGGCAAACCCAGGAGCTCTTGGGAGCAGCTCAGTGTGATGAGAGCTCCGAGTCCCTCAGCTCCTCTTCACATTGATTTCCTTCTGCTCAAAAACAAAAAAAAGGGCGTAAGCTTCCCGTTAGTGTGAGTTTGCATTCTGTAGAGTTTGCTGTTCCCAGCTGGAGTGCATGGGATGCTCAGGGGGTCCAGGCACAGCCAAGGTGTCTCTGAGCACCCAGCTCTGCAGTCAGTGACCCTGCCCTGCCAGAGGGCTCAGCTTGGCTGGTAATGCTGTCAGGGATGGTGGCTTTCTCCTGAGTTATGCTGAATTCCAGCAGGAATCATCTTGCTGAAGCCCCTCTCTTTGTTCTTTCCGTGGTTAAATGTGTTTTTTTCCAGCTGCAGAATGCAGCAGATCCAGCCCTGGCAGCCCCTGCCCCAGCCTCCCTTCCCTGGCACGGCTCCAGCTCCCTCCACCTTCACAACACCAGCAGATCCCCCACAAACACTTTCTGTGTGTTTCTTGTGCCCATCAGTGCCCTGCTGTATTCTCAGTATTCCTCAGCACTGCAGAACTCTGTTATTATTCACTGATGCCCCTGGCCTGGGGAGGAATTGCAGTGCCCCACCTGGATCCCGTTTTGCTCCAGTGAGACACTCACAGGAACAAACCTGAAGGGTGGCTTGCATTTCCTGGTGCTGCCTCTTGAACACTTGCAATAACTGAGATGAGGGATGCTGATGAACTGTCAGACATTTGGCACAGACTGCCAGGTGGATGTAATTTCTAGGGAGCACAGAAATGCCAGAAAGTTCTGGAGAACAAGCTGGGAGTTCTCCATTCTTCTTCTTGATCTTTGCTCAAAACAGGTTAGATTAATTCAGTCACTGCTCTGCTGTATGCCAGCTGGAGGTAATCTCCAAAGGCTGAAATCTGCTGAGATGAAAAATCATTTTTATTCTAATATTCAGAGAAAGAAATTGAAAGAGACTAGTCACAAAGGAAAATTTGAAATTCTGGGATATTAACTTAAACGTGACAAAATGAGCCTTCACTCTGATGTCTGTGGGCTCTGCAGCAGGATGGGAGAAGTTGGAATGCTGTGAATTAGTTAGAACTGAGCTGGGGTTGCAAATGTAGCTGCACAGCACTCCAGATTTTACATTGGTTTCAGCAGGAGCTTTAAGGCACTGAAGCCAAGGTGATTGTGAAAGAAGGACACAAACAATGCTGCTGATGAGCTCAGTTCGGTGCCTTCAGAGGTGTGTGGGATTAGTTGTAACAAGTTTATTTCAGGATTGAAATAACCATCTTGGAAAAGCTCACAGCCATGTGGTGCTCAGATGTCAGCCTGGCACTGGGCTGATACCCTGCTGAGGAGCTGGACCACAGGCCTTGCTGAAATTGTTTGTGTTTTATCACTCTGCTGCTGCCTGTGTCAGCCTGGCCCCAGTTCCTGCTTGCTGAGATTCGTTTATCTTGTTGGTCCTCACTTGAGAATGACAACATTTATTTTGAATTTTGGAGATTAGCGGCCATCAACTGGTTTAACCAAATAAATAAGTTGATTGGAGGTAAAATGGGAGTGCAGATGAGCAGAATGTTCCTGAAGGAACACACTCAACCCTTGATTGCCTCTGTGTCAGGGATGTAATTAAGGTCAGCAGGCAGTCAGAACCTGGAGACTGCAGGGAGCTCTCGGACAGCCCTGAGCAGGTCAGTGGGACTGAGGATTGTTCAGTGCCATCTGCCCAGCACACCCTGGCCTGGGGCGCTCAGAGCAGCTGTGCAGATGTGAGGGGCTTGCTCTCATCAAGCTTCTCCTGATGGGGAGCCCGAGGCAGGGGGAAGCAGTCCCTCTAGCAAATGAATCATTGCTGCAGCTGCACCTTGGGGATTCCTGTCCTCCCTCCTGGGTGCACAGAGCAGTGTTCCAGGCTGTCCTGCAGCCAGCACAAACAGGAACAGAGCCACTGCTCCAGGCGGGAGAAAGAAAGCAAGCAAGAACCCATTTATTGTGATGTTTGTTCCTTCTGGAGGAGAGCAGGGCGAGGAGCTGCCCCAGGGGTTTTCCTGTGGCCCTGCTGGGTGGGACAGGAGCCATCCCCTGGGCCTGGGGGTCCCAGCTCTGTGCAGGGGCTGCTGGCAGCAGGGACAGGGAGAGTGGCAGGAGAGGCAGAGCAGCAGTGGCACACACAGACAGGATCAGCAGTGCTCCTTCCTCGAGTGCAGGAGCCCAGCCCAGAGCTGCAGCTCAGGAGGGCTGCCGAGAACATTCAGATGCTATTGCTGCATTTTGGGCAGCTTCACCCCCCCATCAGCCAGTGGAGCCCTCTGCTCCTGCCAAGGAGCATGCCAGCCATCTGGCAGATTTGTTTTTGTAGTGATCCAACAAGTACAAAGCATGCCAGGCTATTTGTACCATCTGCCACGTAAATGTCACTTCAGCTAAAGGATGGTGGACACCTGGGGACCCAGGGTTCAAAACTCCTTTTAAAGAGGAATTGTTTTCTCCCACAGAAAAATAGAGTTTGAAGCTTGGGTCTCTCTCCCCCAAAACACCAGTGCAGGACACAGCTGAAATATTTATGTCTCCTAAACCATTCTCTTAAATTGCTCTTTTTTCCTGTTTTTCCTCTTGCTGTCTTTTCCAACTGCGAGAGTATAAAAATGGCTCCTATAAAGTTCACATGTGGATGGACATTTCCAGCTAAGCAGTAGTGTTATACAATCTGTGGTAGAAATTGTTTGGGGTTTTGAACACATTTTCTGCATTTCTAAAGCTAGAAATGACTTAGTTTTTTATGCCATTTTAGCCTGTTCACAATTCAGAAGAGACAATCAATCAATAGAGTGCAAGCAGCTCACCAATGGGCTTGTAAGCAGACAAGTGTTTATACCGGGAAAATACTTAAAGCCATCTGATCTTGATGATGGAACTGTAGAAACAACCCTTAGCATTTTAGGGAGCCCAGGATTTTGAAAAGGTTTGGGTATTCATCTGTGAGCTTCTATTTACAAAAAGAAAATCATCCCAAATTTCTTTTCTTGAGGCAATATATGTGGTTTTATTTTATCTTTCAGTGTTGAAGCTGAGTTTTGATAATGCATGGCTGACTGAGTAAAAGGTGCATCAAT